CGAAATTCAATTGAACCCGAGTCGCAATTGCGACCACTCGGCCAACGAGGCAGTCATCATTTTATAGATTCCTAGTAACCATGTAAATCCCTATGACATGTACATATTTTAAACAAGGTCAGTAACTTAGGTACTATGTCTAGAAATCAAAAAGGAAAAAGATAAATTTTTATCAGCGTCTGTTGATAAAAATTATTATATTGACATTTTTATCAAAAATGCACAATTTTGAGTTAAACACGCCTACCATGGGCATTGTGTTTTCCTTATCTTTATTTGTTAACACGTTAAACGCCATGGGGGACACTGGCGACCCTATTTTGTAGATTGAGTAAAATTTCCAAATCCGTGTAATTAAAGAAGGAGTACTAAATTAGGTGCGGGAGCCATGCTTCGGCACGAATAGGCTGGCTCGACCGAAATGATATCACGGCCTCAAGCGTTGTTTCACGTCGTATAAGTGAAGTTGCCGGAGACTAATTCTGCTACATGTCAAAGTCAAAGTCAAAATCATTTCAATGAGACCAAGAAAGTACTTTTTGAACATCAAACAAAGAATGTAAAAGATTGGGTAAGTCGGTCCTCTAGTGAAGCTATTTGCTCGTTTCAAGGTAGGTAGATTCTTATCGAGGGCTGGGCTCGCTGCCATTGCAGCGGTAAGTCCCCTCTTTGAGGAGTGGCTTGAGAGACGCTACGGCGTCCTCACCTACCGCCTGACGCAGGTCCTCACCGGACATGGAAGTTTCGGGAGGTACCTGTGTCTGATGGGGCGGGAGGAAACGCCCGGGTGTCATCACTGCGAGGACCGCCCTGAGGACACGGTGGAACACACCGTAGCGGAATGCCCTGCGTGGGCTGAGCACCGCCGTGCCCTCAGGGAAGTGATCGGCGATGGCGACCTCTCGCGTCCGGGCCTAGTGCAGGCCATGATGCGGAGCGAGGGGGACTGGGATGCCGTCTCCTCCTTTTGCGAAGCAGTCATGCTAGCTAAGGAGGAGGCGGGACGCGTGAGGCAGCGAAGCGCTGCCTCCTCGCGACCCAGCCATCGCGAAGGACACACCGGGCGTCGGGGATCGCGGGACGATCTCCGGCCACCGTAAGCGCGGGCCTGCGGACGGCGAGCATGGGTGGCTCCCCGTCCGACCAGAAACAGACCCGAGCGTACGGCGCGTCGCGTTCCGCGCGCGCCTCAAAGAGCCATCAGACCACCACAGATGGGGCCCAATAGGGCCGATGCCGATTCGGAGTCGCGGAGAACCTAACGGGTAACCGGGGCTCCGGCTCGACGTGCAGGAGAAGGAACGGGGTGGTTTTTAGTCAGTAAGAGTCTGACACTCCCTTCCGCCTCACCCAGGCGGGAGCAGTCATTCGATGATTTTCCCCCCTAAAAAAAAAAAAAAAAAAAAAGGTAGATTCTTATGAAGAAGAACGATCAAGAAACTCCATGGTCACTTTTCTATCAGGTTCATGTTCATGGGCACCGCCTAAAATTGATCACTTGTTATTTGGTCCAATTTTGCCCCTTATATCATAAAAATATATGTTTAATGGGTTAATATCTAGACCCATTCAGGATGTCTGAGAATAGGCCAAGTAATCGCAACTGTCAAACAGTCACTGTGTCACTCTTGAATGCGTATCAAGGTCAACCTGGTATTTCTTTAATCAATGATTGATAGAAGTAACGTCTTGTAATATATAATATTACAAGACGTTTGTTCTCAAGTGCGAATGAGATAACATTTGGCACTCCAACACATATTGCAGTTTTGACAAAAGATATAGTCTCGTTATGTCCTCTAAAGAACGTTAGGAATTTCTGAATCAATAGATTATAATATACACATTTTGATCAATTATAATAGCCTAAGATAGGTTTAAAATGTGATTGTATAAAAATCAGAATAATATGCCTAGCTTTTATACCTAACAACGTTGATCAAAATTACTAAGGCATTAATACCATGGAATTTAAATGTGCTTAATAAAATAAGATATTAAGTCATTTATCTTTCTACCTAGCTACTACTACCTAGTACTATATCTAGCCACTTTTTGCATAGCTTAAGTTATCAATATCATTCTTGTTTATCAACAAGAAGGTGACAGTAATAGATAACACACATACCAATAAAAATATTTTGGAGTTAAGTGATGACGTACCATCTGCACGGCAAATGGTCTAAGTATATGTATAGTCAAAGGTCAAAAGTCCACTGCCACCGTGAGTGATGTTCACACGGCAATGCGTAAGTTTATATTAATGTGCATAAAAACGCGTGCGTATGCATAAGTACACGCACTCGTACGCACACGGATAAAAATATGCATGTGGACTTTTGACCTTTGACCGTACATATTATTAATAAAAATAAAATTATATTAATTTCAGTTCCTAAAATAAAGAAGCTTGATATCATAAAAAATATCTAACTTAATAAAAACTGAAAATTGGATGCGAACTATTTGGCGTTCTATAACGAGGTTGACACACAATTATGGCCGGCTCACTACTAAGAAAATAATTATAAGAACGTCGCAAAAGAAGATCCATTTTCATTATACTTGAGAACGATATTGTTCAAGATCATTTTGCGAGAGAACAGTTTGTCGTCCGAGAAAAATAAGTAGATATCCGGCCGAGGGTGATTCATATTCATAATGTCTTTGCGAATAATTAGTTTTCATTATTCACGAGGCCGAGCTAAAGTATCGCGGCTACGGAAAAGACAAAATATTATTTAACAACTATATTCGTCGGCTTTAAAATTTGGTTGAATAAATAAAACGTTGTTAACTAAACTAAAATAAAACGTATCCGTTTCATTTAGTAAATAATGTAAGTTTCAGGACCATACAAATGCTACTTGAAATATGATTATGACCAGATTAATATTATGTTTTTATAATAACTATCGTGAGACATACTAAATTAACTAAAACCGCGGCGACGTCGCCGTGACCGCGCGCGCTGCTCATGAGGAAGAACCCCTCTGTGGTTCGAAACTAGTAGAGCTTTTCTCAGTATATTCACGTGACTAACCCGCGATTTTAGTTAAGTTTAATATCAGTCGAAAAAATAATTTAAATATAACTACTTAGTCTTAATTAACATCAGGTTGTTTACTTTGACATTCTAAATGATATGATCTGAATCAATGTAATGGTAATTTGTAGGTAATTCGAAAGATCTTGTATAAATTTGCTGATATTATCTTATGCTGTTTATTCAGTTATTGGAACAAAACACTAGATAATTCACTGTTTACTGGACACAAATGTACGAAACTGCAATTAAGTTGTAATCCTCGTCTTTCTCAACAAAAAAGGTGTAGTAAACATTTCGTCGACAAGGCAATCAACTACGGAACAATACAAGATACGTTAATAAAAACAAAATATATATTACGTTGCAAAGACTTCAAATAATACCAACTTTAAAATTTTTTGTGTAAGAACACTTACATTTTGTTGAATCGACAGATATTGAAAACAATATTGACAGAAGAGTCGTTCAATCGCAAAAACAATTGTTTCCATTGAATAAGGCTATTGTACCAGTAACAAGTCGAAAAGTATGTATTCACAAATGCTTTTGTTTTACTGCCAAACCTTTGTACTTAAGGTACTTAAGTAACTTAAGTTATTTCGTTATAAGATCATTATTCAGCTTTCTATTGTTTGCTTCATGATCTTTCGATAAACATTTTAGAAAACGATTTATAGCAATAAAGGTTTTTCCAACGCCAGATAAATTTTAAATAAGGAATAACTTTCAATATTTGACAATTGTTCCATATTAAAAACTGTCAGCTGGGTACTCGCCTTAATCAAAAATAAATACTTTTGACTGTTCAATACAGTAAATATATAAAATAATTACACTTTCATCAATTGATTTTATGAATAACTTTAGTACTATTACAGCAATGTTTTAAGAAATAAGTATGCTGTTTGACGCTAAAAAAACGTGACGTCACAATACACAATCTTGTATAAAATTCATAGAAAACTGTCGTTTTTGACAGTTCGAAAAAAGTATTGAATTTGACTAGTTGGCTAGTACCCAACTGTCAAATGTCAATTTTATTCCACAAATTATTTATCTCTTTAGACCGTACTTTTTTGGAATTTATGACTTCAAAGTTTGTGTTATAGCTATGTTTGAAAGTGTATTGATTTGGACTACTCAAGCGGCCACCGGTGACCGCTCTCCACTAACTCCATTTTAGACCTTATTTCAGATGTTTAGACACTACTTTTGTATAAACATATTTTGGGGTTTTCAGTGCGATATATCAATATATGTATAAGAATTAACTAATGATTAAAAAATGCGACGTAAGATAAAGTTTCAATGATGTGAAACTCTTAGTTGAAGAAATTAGTATTGTGGTAAAAAGAAATATGGGATTAATGACAAAAACACAGAGGAATTACAATGATGAAAACTATCGATAAACTTATTGTAAAAATAAACAAGGAAAATATTCAATCGAAAAGCCGATACGTTCTAACTTAAGTCCTAATCTTTGATATTTATCTAGGTTCGCAACAGTGCGGTAAGTTTACAATAGATATAAGATAATTCTTCTGTACCTACATATCTATAATGTCATTGAACTTCTCCAAAACGCCTGCACTGATGTGCGATGTTGAATGAATATCAATTCATGCAATATTCTTGTGCGCATTTAATTATTAATCTTCATTATAATTACATTATCAGAGTTTACTACTTCTTATGCATTAAGTACCTATTTATATAAAAAATGTTCAATTTCCGGCTATGTGAATTAATCTACCAGTTCAAAGATTGTATCGAGGAGATTGGAGTATTTAATTACAAAATAGTTAGTCATTGCACTTTGGTAATTCAACTATAATAATATCTCCTTATATTTTATCTCCCGGTTTATCTCAACACTATCTTTGACTATCTGCAGTATAAATATTTTACTACATTCCGAATTTTCATAACAACTGCTGTGACGTTCAACATGACAAGTCTAGGAAGAATAAGTGTTGCATTGTTAGTGTTGTTCCATCATACACAATGTTTGCCGAGAGTTGATCCATTAGTTGATACTAAGGTCGGCCTCATTCGAGGGCTGAGGGCCAATGATGGAAACTATTCCAAGTTTTTGGGAATACCGTACGCTCAAGTGAACCCTGACAATCCATTTGGAGTAAGTGTGCCGTTTGTATGCGTGTAATCAAATGCAAATTCAGCCTGATTTGGTAATCGTTATTCAATTTCGAACCATTATAAGTATTGTATTTCTACAGGAATCAACACCACAGCCCAAGTTTGAAGAAACATTTGAGGCTTACGATGAATCAGCGGTGTGCCCTCAATGGTATTGGTGGACTGGCGAGATTGACGGGAATCCCGACTGCCTGCAACTCAATGTCTATGTTCCCGATACTGCTAATTCCAACAATCGACTTCCAGTAATGGTCTGGATCTACGGAGGCGCTTTTGAAAGGGGAGAATTTAGTCAAAAGTTGTATGGACCAACTTATTTAGTGAAGCATGATGTCATAATGGTAGCAATAAATTACCGAGTTGGTCCCTATGGATTCATGTGTCTTGATACACCTGAGATAGCAGGTAACCAAGGTCTAAAAGACCAACATTTGGGACTGCAGTGGGTGAAAGATAACATAGAGGCTTTTGGAGGTGATGCAAACCAGATTACATTGTTCGGTTTAAGTGCTGGAGGACATTCTATAGACCTGCATCTGCTATCACAAAGAGAAGTAATTTACAACAAAGTTATAATGCAAAGTGGAAGTTCGTTGGCCGCTACAGTGTTGTATGAACCTGACAAATTAGCTCACATTAAATTAGCTCAGCATTTAGGCTTTGAAACTACGGATACAAATGAAGCAATTTCATTTTTAGCTAAATCTGATTCAAATTTAGTGATCGCTGCTACTCTTGATCTAGGTATTATTTTCAAACCCTGTGTAGAAAACAGTTTCGAAGGAGTGGAACCGTTTTTAAACAGTTCTTGGATACATGCTGGAACACCAAAAGTTAGGAACATGCCAGTGCTTACTGGATACAATGAACACGAACTGGCTTCTTTTCATTATAACAAGGATGAAGAGTATTTTAAAAACTTGAACATAATATCAGATTATATGAAAAGAATATTTAACTTTGGAGAAGAAGAATTACAGGAGATGAGTGATTCGATTGCACATTTCTACTTTGGAGATGAAGCGATAAGTTCAGACGTAAAATTGGCTTTAATTTATATGGATTCTGATTTTACTTACATTCATCCTATACAAAGAAGTATCCAGAAATACCTAGAAGCGAGAGCAAGAAACGTTTATTACTACGTTTTCTCATATTTGGGAGGAAGGAATGCCATTCTGGATAATGGTGGCGTTGAAGATAACAGCAGTAATGTCTGCTGTGCTGCTCATGCTGATGAATTACCGTATTTGTTTAACATGGTCAATAAGCCACCACCAACAGAACACGATGAAGTTGTAATTGAGCGTATGACTACAATGTGGACCAATTTTGCTAAATATGGGTTTGTGTTTTTCTTCTTTATTGTTTCTGTATCTGGATTTGATTCTTTAAATCTAACATAACATAACATCACGCCTTTTATCCCCGAAAGGGTGGGCAGAGGGCCACATTACGGTACTTAATGCAACTGACAATGCAACACCCACTTTTCACTATTTATGTTATGACTCGCATGTAACAGGGGGTAAGCCTATTGCCATAAACCGTGCACAATTTCAAACTCCGTGCTCTTACTGAGAATTATTTTTAAACCCAGTAATACTTTGCCAGCCCCGAGACCTCTTTGCCCGGCACTCTGGGCCAACGAAGCAGTCGTTATATTATTGTCTAATTGTAATTGGATATAGCCAGAAAATTATAGTGAAAGTAATAGTTCCTCCATAACAAGTTAAAAATCAAATAATTATCTTTCAGTGACCCTACACCGCAGACATCGGACTTACTTCCAGTAAAATGGGAGCCGCTGACAAAAGAGTCTTTTACTTATATGGACATTGGCTCAGAACTTTCTCTGGGTAGAAGACCAGCTCATGACAGGATGGCTTACTGGGACCTGTTCTACAAACTAAATGGAGACAAACATAAAATATAAGTTACAATTTTAATAAAATAAGTGTCACGATCTTAACTCGTCGAGTACCGGTTTTATAGACACAATTAAAGAACAATAGGTCGCGATCACCGGTGACCGCTTGGTGTTTGACAGATTAAAATAGGTATTATTAGAATAAGTTATAAATAAAAAAAATACAAAATTGATACCACTTTTGACTAAAACCCTTTTCAGAAAAGTATAGACAGAGTAAACAGAATATTGTAGGTATTATCATTCACTTCATTACATAATGTTGAAGTATTTTAGCAAACCGATGAATTTTATTCTTTCTGTATTTAATTGACATTAAAAATATCAAGATAGATGGTAATTAAGGTAACAGATACATAACAATGATTTATTAATCCCTGATTGTGACAGTGATTTTCTTGCGATCTTGGAGATAAAACAGTAAAACATGTAACACTATCTATCATAATATTTGTTTTGAAGACATTGACCGGTACATGTGTCTAGATAATCACAAGTGCGACTTTTATTTTTAATGTGCTATGTATGTGGTGTTTTTTTACAAGCACTGTGTTGGTATTTGTGTATTTTTTAATTTTTTATGGCATTAGCCGGTAAACGAGCAGACATCATCTGATAGTAAGCAATCGGCGTCGCCCATGGACACCTGATACACCAGAGGTACGCTACAAGTGCGTTACCGGCATTTTGAGGAATTTGAGGATTATTAGGGATTGGGGAGATCGGCGGTAGGAACTAATTGGGCCTCCAGCAATCTCACTCACAACACAAAACATATTGCAAGCGCTGTTTCACGTTCTTATTTTTGTAGCATGGATCTCACTTTTTACAGTGCAACTAATCCTAAAAAATAGGAAAATATCATCTTACTATTCCGATAACAAAATTCTTAATTGCTAACTTGGTAACCAATAGTAGTATTAATTTGATTCATAAGTTGGGCAAAGAATGATTGATTTCCGAAAATTAATTAGTTTTTTACTCGATGATACTTTGTGATTGTATTTAATTCTTCATTTCCAATATTACCTTCCTTATTTCGAGTTCGGCAAATTAAACTGTCGGTCGCCACTGTCCAACAGATTGACACGGCATTTATGTGTTAATTAAGACTATCGCATTTCCTTTATTGGACTTTTCACGAAAGAAGCGACTTGTTTATATGGGAATTTAAACAATTTTATCATGGTCACAGACAAATAAGGTTTACTTCATGGTTGGTATTTTTATGAGAAGTTAACTGTGTACTATGTGGAGACAGAGAAGAATACATTTGTTACCACTCACCCCCGTTACTCTACTCGTGGGTGTCGTAAACCCCGACTAAGCGACTACAAATAAATTACCAGAGACCAATCATGACTGCTCTCAGATCTAAACAAACTTAGTTTCATATTTATGTAAGAAATTGGAAAGAAAGATACTGGTAAAAGATACCGACTGAGTAGAGAACCTCCTCCTTTTTGGGAAATCGGTTAAAAGTGTTAAGTACAGGTTTAAACACTATATACTACAATAGATTTAAAGAAAAATAATATTATAAACTCAATTTAATAATAAACGTAGATAAACATAACCACAATCAGTTCATACACTGATAATAAATCTTACACACAGACCGATTTTTACAAATCAATATGGCCGCCGTTGGGTGTTATTAATTTCCCGCGCTAATAGAAAACTGTCAAAAACTGAAGAACGTTAATTTTACACGTCATTACCTCTAGAGGGTCGAATCGACCGTGCGATATCCCATTTCGTTAGCAATTAATTAGCTTTGAAGAAAGAACTGAGGGTTAAAACGAAGTTAAGTAAGGATTCAAGGGTTAATACTGGGAACGTGATTTAGAGATTATTCGGAAATTATTTGGTAGAATTTAATTTGATCCTTGAAATTTTACACACATGATTTACACAGTCATATAAAGAAGACTTAATGCTAACAGCATTCTCTGCCAGTCATCCTTTAAGTAGTGCAGAAATGTATGTAGTAGGTAGTAAGCTGCAAAAAGGTTATGAAAGGTAGTAGTATAATGAAATGTGGGTGTTACATTGTGCAGTGGCATTAAGTGACGTAATGTACACCTCTACCTACCCCGGGGATACAACTTCAGGGATAAAAAGCGTGATGCTATGATGTTATGGTATAACTATTAAAATGATTACATTTATAAACAAAATACGTACAAAATGATAAGTATTTTTTTTTTTTTTTTTTATAATTGATGGGGCGACGTTTGACCACTATCTCACCTGTTGGTAAGCGATGATGCGGTCTACGTTGGAGCACGTCGTCCCATAAGCAACCTATTCACTCGGGCCTTGAAGACTCCCAGGTTATACCCTTCAGGAAATACAGACTCTGGCAAAGAATTCCACTCTTTAGCAGTACGCACAAGGAAGCTTGAAGCAAAGCGCTTCGTGCGTGTGGGCGGAACATCTACCATGAATCGGTGACGCTTCGCGGATTGTCTTGTGGTACGATGATGGAAAGGACTAGGGGGAATCAAGTTGTGCAATTCCCCCGCACACTCCCCGAAATGTATCCGGTAGAAAACCGAAAGGCTTGCAACCTTACGCCTGTGTTCGAGGCTTTGAAGCCGAGCCTTCACAAGCGCATCATCGTCGATGAGCCTCCTGGCACGCCTCTCAATGTGCTCTAACGCGTCCAGCTGATATTTAGCCGACCGTCCCAAAGATGAGAGCAGTACTCCATACAGGACCGAACCTGTGCTTGGTACAGGCTCAGCAATTGTTTCGGCGTGAAGTACCGTCTCACCCTCCAAAGGACACCCAACTTCCTACCAGCCAGTTGCGCTTTTGACTCTATATAGGAGCCAAAGTTGAGCGTGGGCGTCAGAGTTACACCAAGAAGCTCAAGACGATCGGTTATCGGTACGGATACATTCCGGAAAGTAGGAGTCAGCGGAAATTGACTCCGTTTGGCGGAGAATAGACACGCCTGGGTCTTGCTAGCATTGAACCTAACCAAGTTGGCGTCACCCCAGTCGGACACCGCCTTCAAGGTCGAGTTCAAACGTTCGACCATGGATTCTCTTAAAGACTGGATCTGTGTTCCGCTAGTCCGCGCACCGGACACATACCTTTCAACAACTGTGCTGTCATCTGCATACCCAAAGATACCGGGCTTAAGCAGGTCGTTTATGTGCAGCAAAAAGAGCGTCGCTGAAAGTACTGACCCCTGAGGGACGCCGGCATTAATACCGAATTGGTCAGACGAGCAGCCATCGATGACTACTCGTATTGACCGATCCCTCAGAAAGTCTGCTATCCATCTGCACAGACCAGTAGGAAGTCCATATGCAGGAAGCTTGCCGATTAGACTGTCGTGCCATACCCTGTCAAAGGCCTTCGAAATATCGAGGGAGACTGCTAGTGCCTCTCCGTGCCCCTCTATGGCCTCGCTCCATATGTGAGTGGCATACGCAAGAAGGTCCCCAGTCGATCGGTTACGTCGAAACCCGTATTGCCGATCGCTGAGGAGATCGTTACCTTCAAGGTATGCCAGGAGTCTATATTGTTAAGAACACGTTCCATGCTCTTACAGAGTATGGACGTGACCGAAATAGGGCGGTAATTGTTAGGGTCGGCACGACTACCTTTTTTAGGCACAGGCTGTACGTTGGCCAGCTTCCAAGCAACCGGTACTAGACCCGTCTCCAAGGAAAGGCGAAACAGACGTGTCAAGATTGGAGACAACTCAGGCGCACAGGTTTTTAAAACCAGGGCTGGGATTCCGTCGGGACCACTGGCCTTGTTCACGTCCAGATCGCGTAGCGTCCTATATACCTCCCTCTGTCGAATGCGAATTTGCGACATATTCGTCTTGCATACGCTATTAACAGAAGGAGGCAAGGCGCCACCAGTGTCAAGACGCGAAGACTCCGCAAATAGAGAAGCAAATAGATTTGCTTTCTCTACCGCAGTGTGAGCCAGCGTCCCGTCAGACCTCAGGGAGCGGAGGAAGTGAGGAGCGACAGAAGTTCGATTCAACCGCCTTGGCCAGGGACCAAAAAGCTTTACTTCCCGCTGGGTAGGAAGCTAGTTTGTTCCCTATACGGCCAATGTGGTTAAATCGAGCCATCCGTAATGCCTTTTTGCATGACTTGGCAGCCCGATTAAAGGCTCTCTTCTTTTGATGAATGTCATCAGCCCTACGGCGCCTGGCATCCGCCCATGCCAAGTATGCCGCCTGCTTTTGCGCTTCGGCACGTCCGCAGTCGGCATCGAACCAAGGACGGGTCCCACCAGAGAATGCCACGTCCGAGAATGGAATGTAGTATTCCATGCCCTGGCGCAGCACCCCCGTTACGGCTTCCGCACAAGCTGACGGGTCATCAGAAGAGAAGCAGACAGGCCGCCAAGGATAGGAAGCGAAAAAAGATCGCATCCCATCCCAGTCCGCTGACTTGTATCGCCACATCCGCCGAGGTCCTCTGGGACTCGGATCTGGTGGGGGGTGTCGATACAGATTTCACCAGACAGTGGTCAGAGCTACCTAGAGGTGATGAGACTGTCACCGAGTAGCGGTCTGGATCAGTTGTCAGCAGAAGGTCTAAGCAATTGGCAGTGTGCGTATCGACATCGGGCACCCTTGTGGCTTCCTGGACCAGCTGGGTCAGGCCAAGCGAAAGCGCAAGCTTACGCATTTCCCTTCCAGCATGGTCGGTGCACTGGTATGGGAATAACCACTCCTGATGATGAGCGTTAAAGTCCCCCAGTAACACCAACTGGGCCGAAGGGTACGCCTGACGAGCCGCATCCGCCGCTTCGCCGAGGTATTGCGCTAATCTGGTCGCCTCCAAATCTCCGCTGTGCGACCGATAGACACAGGCATAAAGAATTTTCTCCATGCCTATGTCCACCAGTATCCAGAGAGCAGAAAAGCTTGGGTCTTCAAGGTTTCGGAGACGCCGGTAACAGATGCCGTCTCGGACGTATACGCATACACCTGCATGCGGAACAAAATTGTGCTCCAGGGAAAAACCAGGGTAGTTCAGGTAGGATACGTCCGACGGGCACCTGATCTGGGTCTCCGAGAGAAACAAGAGTGTAGGGTTCTCGGTCTCGAGGTGGTGATGGACCGCATTGACATTAGAGTGCAAACCTCGAATATTTGAGAGGTGCACTATGAAGGAGAGGGAGTGCAGCCGCTGTTGAACCCTTTTCTTATTTCTCAGTGTCATAATG